AACAGCTTTAATGCATTTAATGCATAACTTTGGATGCATACATATATTAAAACATTCTCACAGCTTTTTAAGTTATCAGAAACATTTTTTTTATACAAATTCCAAATGTGTGTATTAATATATGAAAAATTGAGCTACTGAAGCCTGAAGTCATGCTCCTTGTGTTTATTTCTCTAATGCTGGCCTGCCTAGACACAGAAGGTCTTCATGAGAATAAACAGACGATTACATGATGTTTACAGCAAAATCTTAAATATAAAATTCTCTTTCATATGATAAGACATTCACATGAAAGTTAACATGCCGAATTTGCGCTTTGGGATTTTACTGAAAGCTTCTACTAAAGTAACTGTGTATTTTGCTTGAGGTGTTTATCAGAGCTATTTATCATAGCCAACACGCAATACTGCATTCAATTCAGACACAGAGTTCTGTTATCAAGGAAAACGGAGAAGAGTGCACTTGAACTAGTAAACACGCACAATGCAGCTAGCGGTGAGGGATTTTAAGCCTTCGTTCAGACGCACATCACTGCACATGACGTGGACAAAAATATATTTATTGTGGTCATGAATTAACAATTTAAGGCCACAAATTAACTATTCGTTCCATTTTATTATTCTATTCCCTAGTTTTAGTTGGGATGGTTCATTGCGATTTCACTTTTTTAACGTTAGTTAGTGTAATGAGACAACAACAAACAAAAAACATAGGCCTACCATTAAAAGACGTGCTTGCACAGGTTCTGCACGATCCTCGTCAATAATATCCTCTGCTTCTCAATCGAGCTCAAACTGATAAGCGATATTAACGACGCCGTTGTTTACAATACAACCGGAGCACAAGCCGCTGAGGTGAAGGGTGGGATGTTTAGACGCGCACTAGAGGCGGTTTAACCAATCACAACACACTGGGCTAGCTAACCAATCAGAGCCCATCGTCTATTTCTGAGGGAGGGGCTTCATAAAAGGAGGAAATGATCAGCGTGTTTCCCAGAGACGGGACAGAGCGATGTGGAGTAAAGGTAAATTATGTGAAAAATAATGCGTTTTTTAAAAAACGAAGCATTAACACATGTTAGACTGCACCCCATAAACACAATCAAGCCTAGAAAAAACCCACTGAACCACCCCTTAAAATTGTGGCCACGTTGTACTAATTTGTTCCCTTGTTTTTATTCAATTAAAATGAGGGAATGAATTAGTATTCATGTGCGTGTCTTTTTTCTTTTCTTTCTTTTCTAAAATGTTGGTTTAAGAGTGTTATTCATCTAATGATTGCAAAAGAAGATAATGGTTAATATTCCATCTGAGCTGCTTGAGGCATCACCACTTTCTTAAGTTATATTGAATTTGTTGTCATAAATGAAAAATGTAATGACAAATAAAGAGGACAGACATACCAATTTATAAGAAAGGGTCAAGATAATCAATTACCTATGGTGGTTTGGATGTAACATCACACCCTTAATGGCTAAAAGTGGCTTTTAAAGATACAACCACTCTACAGTAGTTGACGATGCATCAGAGGGTTAATTGAGATAATTATGTTAAGTACATTTCTTTAACGAGAAACCTTGATTAAGTGGACTTGAGGAAGAAAATTAAAACACTCCAAGTCCAAAGTGTAAAGCATTAAATTCTGTGTGCTTGACTCACATTCATTCTCCAGCTCTTGAAATACAATAGATGCTTCTGGGACAGTCCAATTCTACTGCTGGGGCAGATCCATTCTATAGCTACTGATCTCTCAGAGCAGAGCACCACCACAGGGACAGTAGATTACAAGGTTCACACCAAGGCATCTGGGATCCCTCTTACATCATGACAAAGGCTTTCTCAGAGGGTTTCTGATACAGTGAGCAGCTCTCTGAGGTAAAACTTGTACATTAAACTTACATCATGTATAAAGTGAGTTTTGAGCTCTTGGCACACGCCGACTTTAAAGAGCCATTAACAATTATACATTGTGCATGATGGAAGACAATGACAGCGTGCATTATTTAAAAAACTATGTAATTAATTGAGAGATTTTTTGACAGTTTTTTACCCTCTGGGTTTGAAATGAACATCACAAACGGCATCAATTCATACTATGAGTGTGCTGACAGATTCCATTCAAGTGGATTTTTGATGCAGAGCACAAATGCAGTGCAATTATTTGAGCATTAAATTACACATAAAATGACCTGTATGTGTTTGTGGATTGTACTATGAGCTTACAAAACAGTATATATTTTGTGCATTTTATTGCATGCAATTTTACTGAGAGCTGCATTGCTGAGAGCAATGAATTTAAAACGGTTCATAATTAGTCCAATTTTTTTTTCTTTACAGACCTAACTAAATAAAACACTAAATGAACAAGAAAATACTATTTGCCAAAATAGGTGGAACAAAATAAATCAAGGTATACTGAAAACTCTTTTCAGAATTTGCCAAAGTGTAAACGTATCTTGTTTTCAAGATGTACAGACATTTTTACTTGAAAATAAGCTTAAAAGCTGTAAATGTACTTTTCATAATATAAATTCCAGAACAGTCAGGAAGATAAAAAGAAAATATACAGCGGTGTGAAAAAGTGTTGGCCCCCTTCCTGATTTCTT